CCTTTATTCAGATAGGCACTTCTAATAAACTACTTTCTAAGTAATCTGCTAGTGATAGTTACTAAGGCAGTTGTAACAGCTCAGCAGTGTAAGGCACCACAGGTTTGTCTCTGGATTCTGGTGTCTGGTGTCTGAAGGCCTCAGTTGCGGATGTAGGTCCTGTGGAACAGATGATGTGACTGTCCTGGTTTCAGCTGGGATAGAGTTAATTTCTTCTCAGTAGCTGGTAAAGTGCTGTGTTTTGGACTGTGTATGAGATAAGACGCTGATGTTTTGTTTGCTGCTAAGTCATGGTTATCCTAAGTCAAGGACTTTTTTGTGTCTCATGCTCTGACAGCGAGGAGGTACACAAAAAAAATTATAAAAAAGATGGGAGGAAGCGCAGACAGGTGACCTGAACTGGCCAAAGGGATATTCCATGCCATGGAATGTCATGCCCAGTATAGAAACTGGAGAGTTGCCCAGAAGGGGCTGATCGGGGTTCCGGGGTGGGGTCTGGATGAGATAAGCAATTGTGTTGTGCATCCCTTGCGTTTGTATTTCTCTTTTTATTATAATTTCTAGTATTGCTGTTATTATATTTTGTTTCCATTATTAAAAGGCCTTTATCTCAACCTACAAGTTCTACTCTCGATTCTCCTCCCTGTTCCACTGGGTGGGGGTGGGAGTGAGTGAGTGAGTGGCTGCGTGGTGTTTCATTGCCAGCTGGGCTTAACCCAGGACACTGCCAAATTGATCTGGAATCCTTAAAACTCCTCCTCCTCTATGTGGTGTCTGTAACACTGACAGTAAAGGCTGGCTGCACTTTCAGCTGATCTGTGTGGATACAGATGTGAGGGAACAAGGCTTGAGTTTGTTGAGTTTTGGATTCTGATGTGTATGCTGGATGTTGTACAATAGTGGTAACAAGGGTGTTAGTAGAGTTTGAGTACAGCTTTGCACCCTTTTATCTGAGGTGTCAGAAGGCCTTTAGAAGATGTTTGAATACCCGGCATGGTCTAGGTCTGTCTTTTAAAACTTTCTTACTTGTGTTTATCTGTGCTGCAGGTTCAATAGATCTGACTTCAGACTCTGCTGATGGTCTTAGCCCATCCAAAAAGAGGATCAGAACTGTCTGTAAATGTGGAGCCGTGTGTTGCAGAGGTTATCTCAACTGAGTTCGGGTATCCAAAGTCACAAATACTTTGTTGTCTTTTAAATGTGTTTTAAGAAGACTCTTCTTTCATGCATATATTCAAGTATTCTTACATCTAATGTAAATAAGGATTGTGAAAACAAAGCATTGTGTTTGTAATTGAAATGGCATTAGCCAAAGAAAGAGATTGTAGTGTTTCAGGCAAATACAAAACTGATAACAGGGATTAAAAATAGATTTTTCTAGAACTGTTGTGTAGGAAGCAGTAAAATGTATGCCAAGAAAACTCTAAAATGTACCTTGATTTGAATATTAACAGAATCCTAGAATATGTTGAGTTGGAAGGGACTCATCAGGATCATCAAGTCCAACTTCTGGCTCTGTGCAGGACACTCCAAGAGTCACACCATGCACCTGAAAGCGTTGTCTTGAGCTCTGTCAGGTTTGATGTTGTGACCACTTCCATGGGAAGCCTGTTCCAGTGCCCAAGCACCCTCTCAGTGAAAAACTTTCCTCATATCCAACCAAAACCTCCCCTGACTCAGCCTCATGCCATTTCCTTGAGTCCTGTCACTGGTCTCAAGAGTGAAGAGATCAGTGCCTGCCCCTCTTCCCCTCCCAGGGAAGTTGTGACTGCAATGAGGTCTCCCCTCAGTCTTCTCTTCTCCAGGCTGAACGACCAAGTGCCCTCAGCTGCTCCTCATACGGCTTCCTCTCCAGGCCCTTCACCATCTTTGTTGCCCTCCTTTGGACACTCTCTAATGGCTTAATATCTTTCTTACATTGCGGTGCCCGAAACTGCACACAAAATTCAAGGTGAGGGTGCCCCAGAGCAGAGCGGGACAATCCCCTCCCTCACCCAGCTGGCGATGCTGTGCCTGATGCCCCCCAAGACATGGTTGGCCCTCCTGGCTGCCAGGGCACTGCTGACTCATATTCAACTCTGCCTCTGACATTCAAATGTGAGCTCACAGCCATAGCCCTTCAGGAGCTGATTGCAGGGGGATGAAGTGATGTTACATGTTTTCTATACCTTGAGAAGTCAGGAGGCATTCAATTTGAATCCTAAATCATAGCTGACGGTTCTTTTGCTTTTTTGTTGTATAAAGAAAAGCTTCAAGAACTCAGCAATAACCTTTATGGCACCAGAGAGAGGGATTAAAGACAGCCAGTGTGCAAATGAAGGTTCATAGGAATGCGAATTGTAAAATGTCCATGGAACTCCATGCGAGTGAAGTAATTGGTGTTAGCAGATCCCAGATGTAAAGCTTGGAACTTTTTATCTAGAAATTTTTTCAGTTATGTTCTGATTTTTAGTTAGGATGCTATAGGAGGAGTGCGTTTCTACAGAGGATTTGTAAATATGGGATTGTTGGTAGTAACATTTGCTGTTTGTTTTCATTGCAGAAATTTGGCAGTCATGGCTGAAACAAATTGCTGACTACAGTTTGAAAATAGATAGCAAAAGATAGGGAGAGCAGCCCATTGTCCAACAAGGTTGATGCATTGTGGAGATATGCTCAAGTTATCTGTTAGGTGCAAAAGTACCCTGGAAATTGATGTATATTCACAACTGGTTTCCATTAAGTTTTTACATACTGTGACTTTTTTATCTAGTGACAGACTTCTAAGATACTAGGCCTGTATTTTCTGGTTGCAAAAATGTTAACTTCAGTGAAGTTAGACTAGGGGTGAGTATACCCATTTCCAGTAGACATTTGTAAGATGTTCTTGAATGTAAAGGCTGAGAAACGTGCTGTTCTTCAGCTGCTTGAGTCCTTTTTTTTTTTTTCCTGATCATTTTAAAGTTGTCTCGATCTGTTCGTAACATATGCTAAGTTTTGCTTGGCTTCAAAACAACAGTTGAAGGGGGTTAGGAGTGGAGTTACAGCCAAGGTCCGTGCTCCAGGGATGATCCAAGTGCTTTATTCTCATGGATAAAAATCTCGTAAAACTTGCATATTGCTTACAAGTCATGTAAAAGTTGACAGGGTCAGGCAGAACAATGTTGCTCCATAAATGGATGCTCCATAACTGGATGCTAGCTATGTATCATAGGTCAGCTAATTACCTTTATAAGGTGCCCAGCATGTAATTGTTTACTTAATGTTAGCAAATGCCTTAAATTCCATGTTAATTACTAGCACTTCAAAGGATAATACAGGTTGCTCATTAACAAGCACAGTTGCATTTGCAGTGAAGATCTGGCCCTTTGGTAGAAAATGACATTTTATATGCTACTAGCCCAAATCGGTATCACAGATGGGGTGAAGAGCGTGGGCCACTGGAAATGCTGTGTGAGTTTTGTAATCTCCAATACAGAGATACACGTTGAAATAGAGACTATATATTGCTTAATGAATAGGAGAAAGTTTGCTTAGATTTGAAAGTATTTGATGTGACCAAGCTCACCTGTATTCACGCACTTGGATAAATGCTGAATCTAGTCAGCTTTTATCATGCCACATCTCTAATGATTATTTTTTTATTTAAAGTGGAATGTGGAGCTTTCATGTTAGCAAACTCCAGATGATCTTGCATCGTTTGGAGTCATTAGTGCTTTCTCTTGCATGTAGCCCGAGCCAGCGGTGCATTCCATGTGGATGGAATCTGCAGTCTCCAGCTCCTTAATCCGCTGCAGTCGGCAGCCCGCCCTGTCACTGCAGGATGGAGAGAGCGGCTGCGGCAAGAAATGGATTCCTTACTGTGGCCTCGCCCACGCCCGGGGCACAGGGCGGGCTCCTGTTTCTGTCTGTTGATGTTCATGCCCAGTTTGATTTAAATATTGCAAGTTTAAAAGATAACAGTTGTGGCAGTTGTACCTGAGCTCAGCATCTGCCTTGTCCCGAGGCAGTGAATGTTATCACCAGTGCTGGAATAAAGCTGCTGTTCTCGAAGGATATGTGTGTTATCTTCTGCCATAAATAAAGATCCGTTAATTTATGTTCTGGGAGGCAACAGCATTTTGTATTTATTTGAAGTAAATCCAGTATCCAGTTTCCAGTTTAGAGCGTTGAACAGTATTTTATATTTACATATGCACAGTGCATTTGGATTGCCGTAAGTGAATTAGCTTAAAGGGACACTGTGTCACTTTTAAAACTCTTTTTGCTATTTCTATGAGTTTGGCTGAAAATTGCCAAATGGGAAAAGGAGAAAAAGCTATTTTCAATTTCTTAGGGAACCTAAACCAGCCCAGCTTCTGCCTTTGCTTTGCTTTGTTGGCATTGTCATGGTCACCAGTTCAGTTGTGTGTATGCACTTCTTGGGGACTGGTGGCTTGTTCTCCAGCTGTTCTTTTTTGTTGGGATTATTTTTATTTTTTGGTAGCAAAACTAAAGCTGCAAGGTCACCTGTAAGAAAAGCTATTGTCTATTTATTTAATCTCCAAATTAAGTCAATCTTTTGGTTATTTCTAATGTATGTTTTAGGAACTGTGTACATTAGAATATGCAGTTTGTAAGCTCAGGAACATTTTCTTTTCATACTGTGTGATCTCTAGTATTGCTATCTTCCTATAGTTTTTGATAAAATAAATGAAATCTAGTTTTTCTCTTGTTGTTGTCATTCTTAAAAAAAAAAAAAAAAATCTTAGCCTGTCAAAATTAGCTATAGCAGTAGAAGTTGTTTTAAGACTGCAACCTCTTAATTCCTGTGCTGTTCCCAAAATTTTCTAGCCCTGTAAAGACTCCAGCAGAGTAACCATGAGGAAATCATCTGTTTTCAGTTTAGGGCTGGTGAGAAGTGGAATAAATTTACACTGTCAACTTGCCTGAAGCAGACTGGATTCCTGTGTATTTGAGCACCCTGTAAAGGCAGCCCTGAACTTACATGCACAGTACAGGTATGAAACAAGCCCACAGAATAAGTTCTGCTCTATCTGACTTTATTCACATAAGTAGTTATAACAGCAGTTCCATTCAGGCTTGCTAAAAAAATCCCAAAATTTGATAAATCACATTTGGAAATTACATTAACAAATCCCACAAACACTGGACCCGGTGACAGTGAAGAAATACATGAATCTTGAATATCCTTAAAATCATATGTAGATCAGAGCAATGCTTTGTCCCCTCCTGCCCCTGTTCCCAGTGTCAGAATGCTGGCTGGTTTAACATTCACATATCACTAAACATGGCACAAAGACTCAAGGCACACTTGGAGGGGAGAGATGTTGTGTTAAAGGTCTGTTTAATTCTTTGGCATTTAAGACCACATGGATAGGAAACCTCAGGGATTTTCAGATGACTTCTGTGGTTTATTTTATACGCACTGCAGTTTAACTAAAACCTGAATTACATTTCCATGGTAGAACCTAAGAATTTTGGCAGAGAGAGTTATGATGGCACACATGTATAGAGAATATATTGTCTTGATTTGAAAAGAATTCAGTGAAGTCTACAGAATGTTGCAGAGGAAATGAAATTTTGTAGTACAGGAGCCTCAAGTAATGCAACCACCTGTCTGGGAAAACAGGTTACCTTCTGTTGCCAGAGCAGGCCATAGCTGGTGGCTTGGGAACCACAAGATTTAAAGTTTTTCTGAAAAACAATTCAGAACAAACCAAAACATGGAGGAACTGATGGCAAGTTGTATGCAACGAGTTGGAGTTAAAGCATAGACAGTGGTGTGTAGTACCTCACTCAGGAGTTAAAAGTCAGATGACACCACTTGCTCAGTGTAAAGAGAAACTTCTTGAACAATTTGATTTAACAACAAGTTAAAAACCCCTCACATTCTCAGTAATTCTCTAATTTGTTCTGCAGTTGTTTTTAAAAATAACTGCAGTGAATACTAATTAAATAGTGATAATAGTGATAATACTGCCTTGTTTATGTGGTCATTCCTATGTGTTCCTCCCCACAGTTAGCTGTGGTATTTTATTAAAACCTGAGATCACATTACAAAGGCAAACTCTTAGAGCTCATGATAAACACTAAATTTCATTTAGTGTCCTGTGCTTACTTTTGTCTGGTCCACTTTTTGTCTACTTACAGTCCTGGAGAAATGAACCTCGGGAGGTAGAATGCTTTTACAGTCCCTCCTAGAATACTTCATTTTCAGTATTTCATGGAAGGAACAATAAAGTTACATAGACTACAAATTCCTAGTTCTGACAGTAAGATATTTCTGAAAAAAAAAATAATCGCATGAGTCAGCATAGCTGCATATAGTAATTGGCATTAAAGAGAAAAAGAATTCGGGTATTAATAAACATTTTGGGTATCATCACAATGTAATCAGTTATATCTGTCCTCAGGAGACTTTTTTCTCACTGAGTATGTTTTCCCCTGCTGCAAGCTTCTCGTATAAATGGTACAGTTTATCTGGCTGAGGCACTTCAGCACCAGGAGTCAAGGGAATTTCGAAGTCAGAGGAGCTCTGGGAGTCCCTCCTCAGCTCCAGGTCAGGAGTCCTTGAGCTGTCACTTAGTTCCACCAGCGCATCCTGAACACGAGCAGTGCCAGTCTCTGCAGCTTTCTCACAGCCCTTGCTTTTCAAGTCACAGGTGCCATCATAGACACAGGGTCTGCTCTGCCCTGGTGGCTTCCCCCTGCTACTCTCCGGCTGACTGTCCCTGGCAGTCTCCTGCAGCACAGGAACAACTGCTCTGCTCCCACCTTTGCTGAAGTCCAGGGCACTTCTCTCCTGGGAGGTGAAAAGCACTGTGTCCATTTGGCTGTCCCAGCCCTGGCTCCCCTGCTCTGATATGTGTGTTGACTGAGAGGAATTTTGAGAGGAGATGTGTGTTGAGTCACTTACTCCATCCGAATCGCTGAAGAGTGACTGGGACCCACCAGCATCTGCTGAAGATGGGATGTTGTCCTCATTTTCAGAGCTTTCCTCTAACTTATTACACATAAAGAATTCATCCCAGCGAGGGACATCGGCATTAGAGTCCTGTTGGTCACTAGTTACTCCACTGAAATTTGCTGTGGAAGTGGCATCTAGCTCATGGGAAAGAAGTTGAACTGTATTTTTTTCAGATTCTTCTTCGTCTTTTTCATCATCATCATCATCATCATCATTTGATTCCTCACAGTCCACAAAATCTACCTGGAGGGAGGTGTAAGCTGTGGTTGCTTTGTAACTTTCTGTGCTCTCATTAATATTTCCTTCAGCATTTTCAGACTGTCCTGTGCTGGATGGCCTGCTCTCTCCTGTCTGCTGTTTTGGAATCTTAGGCCTTGCAGAAGTTAATTCTGAATCAAAGAGATCATCTTCATCTGTCAGGAAACGAACAGAAAAAGAAAGTCACTAAGAAAAGTTCACATCTCTGCTAAAATCTCGTTGAGAGCAAAGTTTTAATAAAAATTCATTTAGTATAAATTGAGAAAAAAGTTCTTTAACCCAGCTGGAGACTTTGCAGGACGTTACTGACAGTGTTTGCCATGCCTTGTCCAGCTCAGTGCCTCACAGAGGGGCAGTTAGAACAAGCTTTCCTAGGGCTGGTTCAGGACTCTGGGAAGGAACTCTATCCAAAGACTGAAAGGGCTGTTGAGCAGCAACTACATTTTAAGACTGCAAACAAGTGTGTTTTTACACAATTAGTGCTCTTAAAATCCAAAGTTAATTTATATTTTTCCTTTCCAACTGTTGTTTTGAACACAAAGACAGACTGTGGTGAACACTGAGGCTTTTGGCACCTCTGCTTAGTCTCAGACTCTCACTTAAGGTGCAGTAGCACCATCAGAACCTTTACCTGTATCAGATAATTCTCTCTTGTGGACTCTCTTCAGTGTTCCTAAGGGCTTGTACCTGGGTTCCGTGTTTCTCCTGTATGACCTGCATAATGGCTTTAATCTGAGGGGAATGAGAAGAGCAATTATGTTTAGAACACAGCAGACACTTTCAGGAGCAGAAGTAAAACTTTTAACTTGATGTAAGTACACTGCTCTATGCCTTTCACAGGCACTGCAGCAAAAATGTTAAAGCAAAGGCAGCAATACCTAGGTCAAAGCTTTTGATTCACTGGTGAGCTTGAGCAGCTTAAAGGTAGAGATCTGTCATTTCAACATATTTACCTTAAAACATGTACGTCATTTGGAAACTATCTTGTAGTTCCTTGCTTAATGAGACAAGATGAGAGGGTTCAAAATCTGACTGCAGTTTTATTCAATAACTGATAAGTATAAAGTCTCCTTTCTTAATTAAGGAGGAAAAGAAAAAAGGAACAGAAAAAGGAGTCCTGGTTTTGTTCAGACTGAGTGACACCACTGCTCTCCTGCTCTGTGAGAGTGCTTTCTAAGCTGCCAACACCTGCAACAGAACTGGCCTCTGATGCAGAGGGGAGGTGTTCAAGACCTCAAAGAAACCCTTTTTAAAAGAAACTTCTGAGAAGTTGCAATGAAATAGAAATGGGTCACAGAACACAGTGAGATGAATGTGTATTCAGCTTCCAGAGTTTACCAGCAGGAAAGCCCCTACACATAGATAGAAGTAGTGTGTGGAATACAAACTCTCACACTTAACTCAGCATACAAGTGTGCTTCAGAAAGCTCAAATCTGTGGCACTGAATATAGAGGAAAAAAAGAAAAAAGAATTATCAGACCAGTAAAGCAAAAGGCAGTGCCCCTTCTGAGAGGCCAGAATTCAGGAGGGAAGTTGTCCTCACAAGAAGAGAGTTTGGACCACCTCCATCCAGCAGCCATTTGTCACTTACATTTCCATTACTTTGTCCTCTGTCCCACCCAGTGGCAGTACGTTGGGATACACATTCACAGGACAGATATAGCTCAGGAAATCCTTAATCTAAATTCCAGAGAAGAAGCAATTTGATAAGTTACATCAACAGTTAAGAATTTCACTTAAAGGTAGCACTGATGCAAGAATACCAAAAAGTACTACCACTGGTCTTTTGTAAAGACCAATGTGACCCATGAGCTAAACTCTATCCAAGTGGATAGCTCTGGAACAAGAAACAAGTGTGAAAGGATTCTGAAAAGTCAGCCTCACCTAACACCTCACTGCAATTATCAACTTCTACAGACCATCACTATCCCTGAAAAAAAAGGCTGGACAGATTTGGAATGTGATCCAGCACTTCCCTGTCCTTACTGCTGTCAATATTTTCAAACCTGCATTTTTCTTACTGGACTTCAAGTCCCTATGTGTGCAGATCAGCTATTCCCTTCCTAAAGGGAGACTTTTCCTAAAGTCTCCCTTCAGCCCCCTGTAAAAGCCCATTTTGACAAAACACATCAGTTTTTCCAAGCCTTACTCTGTTCTCTTCTGGATGCTCTCCAGACAGTAAATTTCTTGAAGAATTGTGTTCAGTTTGCAGCACTCCACTCCAGCTGAGGCTTTGTCAGTGCTGAGCACTGGAAACACTTGCAGGTTGCAGATTACACTCCTATCTGTACAGACAGCAGGGCCCATCTATTTTTGCATGTAGAAGAAGGAGTGTTACAGTTACACTACCCCCCATATTCCACCAGTAAACCTGTCACGTTGTATGTACTATGCTAATACCTCCATTTAAAATTCCTTATGGCAGAGCAAACTAAAACTTAAACAGGATCTTAAAAAGAGTACTGTCTTCCTGGGGCTCTGAATAATCTCCATTTTGTATGAGGCAAGGCTTTGTCACAGGTTCCTTATTAGTGCTGATCCACTTTCAGTTTTTTAGGAGAGAGAAGTGTTTTTAGAACTGGATCAAGTCACATTAGATCCTCTGGGGAGGATGCTGCCACGACCAATTTCCTTTTATTCCCTAACACAGAAAGAGGAGTAGCAGTGGCAGATAGGATGTGAGAAAATTCTGTTTACATGTGTGGGCAGGGAAACAGAAGGCAAACCTACCCAAAACTGAGTCACGGTAGATAAACAATGTCTTGAAAACCAAAACTCCATGCTTTAAGCATTGCATAGTTACACAATAATCTAAAATACAAAGGCAGGCAGCAAACTTATGACCTATATGCTGAGAACAGAGAACAAAAAATAGGCTTGTAATCCTGCCTTTCTTTAATATACTACTCTGCAGCTATACTAAAACAAGTTTCTCTATCTTCAGCATCAAGACTTCTTATCCCCTTATGTCTTATTATTGACAAGATTTTTTTTTGTGTCAGGTCATGTCATTCACTCCAGAACAATCAAATCTCCTTTATGTTTTCTTAATCATTGTATATTCAGAACTACAAGTATACGAACCTCGCTGTATGAAGAGTGGAAAGAGAAACAAGCTCTGTACGTTCTTTCCCCAGTCCTAAAAAACAGAGGAGGCATAAAAATTAGGTAACTGCTCTTCATCCTCAGTCAACAGTCAAGCATAACCTGCTCTTGAAGTCCATTTTGAGATTTAAGTATACAAGTGTCAAGCAAGATATGTTTCTCAAACAACAGGTTTCTGTGTGGCCCAAATGCTCACCTCACGATTACATTGGTTTTCTTGATCCTTTCCCCAAACCATATAGTGGAGGGTTTGATGCTGATTATGTGCAAGGGAGTTCCATTTTGGCAAGTCAGCCCACAGGGCAGTCTGTTCCCTCGGAAGCAATCATCATCCTGCCCAATGCAAGATAAAATTAAGAGCAATAGGGACCCTTTTTTCCCCTCCAAGAAATTAGGCAACATAGTATCTAGGCAGACCAAGATCTCCTCTCACTTCCAACTCCCTTGAAACACTCTGCACATTGCTTCCTTAGTGCAGATGGCAAAGCAAATCAGTCATAGAGACCAATGCCCCAAAGTGACATCTCTGCTTCTACCTGAGCTCCTCCAAGTTGGAGCCTCCAGCTTGACAGACATCCTGGAAAGGGAAGGCCATGTGCTACAACCACACAGTGCCTGGCTGCAGCAGGCATCATCGAGCTGCTTTTGATACATTTAAATGGATAATACCCAACTGATCTAATCTGCTGCTTGTTTTACTTCACTTAATACAATTTTCAGGTTTCAAATACAATTAAACTATTTCCAGCATAAGCTAATATATTTTTCCCTTTTTTCTTTTTTTTTTTAAAAACTTCAACCTGCTAACTAAAGTTCTCACTCTTCTTTACATTAAGCCACCATTTCACCAGTCTTCATTAGCACAACAAGCCCAAAACACAGCACCTATAGCCACACTTTCACAGCAAAGTCAGCAGAGGCTCTGCAGAATGATACACACCCAAGGATGTCGACAGGCATGGATCTGAGTGTGTCGGTCTGTAGTAAGATGGCACAGGATTTCTGGCATGTTCCTGAACATATCAGGTTTGTTCGTGTGCACCTAGAGAAAGGCAGAGTTTACTCTTCATTATCTCAGTGTGTTTGCCAGGCTGCAGCTCGAGCTTCTGCACAGATGTGCTTCTGCTCTCCCCAGACACGAGGAGGCATTTAAAAACTACTCCCACTAATAACGTCCAAACAGAGACGTGCGAGCCAAAATTTGGACATCTAGAAGAAATAGAACATATCTCTTATGCTGAGGGAAGAATATAATCAGAAAGTCAGAATATATCTGCTCACTATTAATGTTGTATATAAATGGCTTTTATCATTCACAAGATAAAAGAGAGAGAGGTAAATGCTGAGCTTGAAAACTGGGAATTAACTTCTGTTTGGAAAGTACAGATGTCATTGCAATCTACAACTTCCTTGTGAGGGGAAGAGGAAGGGCAGGTGCTGATGTCTTCTCTGTGGTCACCAGAGACAGGACAGGAGGGAATGGCCTGGAGTTGTGTCAGGGGAGGTTTAGGTTGGATATTAGAAAAAGGTTCTTCACCCAGAGGGTGGTTGGGAACTGGAACAGGCTCCCCAGGGAAGTGGTCACAGCACCAAGCCTGGACAGTCAGAGTTCGAGAAGCATTTGGATGATACTTTCAGGTACATGGTGTGACTTTTGGGGACGGTCCCGTGCAGGGCTAAGGGCTAGACTCAATGATCCTTCCAATGATCCCTTCCAACTCAGCATATTCTGTGATTCTGCTCCAGACTGGAATCAACTAGTTAACTCATTCTGAGCACAACTGCAGCTTCTTAAGGGCAGTTAATGAAAGCAGGCACATCTGTAACACACAGCAGCCCTCTGAACAGCCACTGCCAGCTCGGTGACTGGCCACAATCATTACTGAGGATCTGTTCCAAAGCAACAATCATAGAAACATTACCTTGATTCCGAGTTCCTCACTGAGGTTTACAAATAAATATTCATATCCATAAGCAGCTTTGCAGTTCAGCCACACAACATGACAGCGGGACAGTGAGGTCCAGCTTCGTGCTAACTCCAAGATCCCATTTAAACATTCCTCCTGAAAAGTGTAGAAAATGCTCTGAATCATCTTTGAAGATATTTTCTATGTGTTGCAATTTGAAATGCAAAATGGTATTGTCTTGCAAGACTTACATAAAAAAGGGATGGTTAATTAATCAGCAGTTTTGAGGACCTTTCCTCTCACAGCTTATTTGGACTTACCCGGCTTGGTATGTGATAAAATTTGGGATCACAAAAAGTAGTGTCCAAATACACACTCTGGATGTCTTTTACTCTGGAGGAGAGAAATGTGATATCAGAGGGAATATTGCATCACAGTACTAAGACACACCACTTCCTCTTTTCAAAAGGAAGTAAATCTTTATTACCTCTTTATTACAAAGAACAAATCAAAGGGGTTTTGTAACTGCAGCATTGCAATTATATTTAATCCAGAATAAAAAATGAGGAAAAAATTAGTACATTATTCCTGAATTGTCCCTGTCATATGATCTTTTATTCTTTCTAAATCCCACAAATAGCTCACCTGGTCCCTGAATGCAAAAGCTCCATTCTGGCTGCTTCTCCCTTTGCAAGCCTGAAATCCCCTGTGTACAGCACAGTGCCATTCTCACCTTCAAACAGAAACCTGCAAACAGCAACAGCTGGGTCAAATGCAGCAAAATAAAGCATTAAATGCCAGGTGATGATTTGTTACCTTGCTTAGGGCAGTCCCATTGACTAACCTGTAATAGAAACACTGGGCTCAACTTGGTTCTACAGTAATTTCAGATAAAACAAAAAAATCAGACACAGTATGTCTGGAAAGTAACCTGTGCCTGGCCCAGTCACAGTTGAAGACAAAAGCCTCACAAAATCAATGAGGGTGGCCCAGCTGTCTGTTGGAGCCAAAGGCATCTATTGGGCAGCTGTATCTAGAGCTGGGCACCTTCTTTTTAATGTCATACTCCAGAAATGGAGGATTTATTTTCAATAACAGTTTTGTATGTAATTTTTAAGTACAGTTGAAATCACTCAGGCACGGGGAAAAGTAATCTGCCTCACCAAGGTAAAAACTTCCATATGGATAGTACTGTGGTTTTCCAACCTTCATCAAAGGTGGTGGGCCCTGCCACAATAGTATTTCCTTCAAATAAGAATTTTAAATTCATTAGCTTCTTCTAGTTGGAAAAAAAAAAGACAACACCACAACCCAAAACAGTACTCAGTGAGAACTCTACAGGACAAATTTATCAGCAGAAACATTTCAGGCACTGAAAGTACATACATGACTGAACCCGGACAGTGACCAGCTGGCAGAAGTGTCACCACTACATCTTCTTTCTGGAAGAGATGGGTTAGCATTAGTTCTAATTCCCTAGTTCCTGGTGAGCAAGTACAGAATCACAGAATAGTTTAGGCTGGAAGGAACGTTTAAAGTTCATCCAGTCCAACACCCCTGCCCCGGGCAAGGACATCTTCAACTAGATTGGATTGCTCAGTCTCATCCATCCTGAAATGGAATGTTTCCAGGGATGGGATATCCACCACCTCTCTGGGCAACCTGTTCCAGTGTTTCACGATATTCATTGTAAAAAACTTCTTCCTTGTATCTAGTCTGAATCAACCCTCTTTTAGTGTAAATCTATCACCCCTTGTTCTGTCCCTACAAGCCCTACTAAAAAGTCTGTCCCCATTTTTCTTATAAGCCCCCTTAAAGTACTGAAAGGTCTCCCCAGAGCCTTCTCTTCTCCAGGCTGAGCAACCCCAACTCTCAACCTTTCCTCAGATGTAGCCCTTCCCCTTTTTGGTAGCCATCCTCTGGACCTGCTCTAACAGGTCTATGTCTTTCCTGTATTGGGGACTCCAGAGCTGGACACAGCACTCCAGGTGGGGTCTCCTCAGAGCAGAGCAGAGAAGCAGAACCCCCTCCCTCAACCTGCTGCCCACAGTTCCTGTGATGCAGCCCAGGACACATTTGGCTTTCTGGGCTGTGAGCACGTGCCATGTGCAGCCTCCCATCTACCAAGCATCCACGAGCACCACGGAAATGGCATCTTGGGATACACTTTGTGTGGAGATCCTCTACTAGACCTTAACATTTTGCATTTAAAGCTTGTTAATTAAAATAAGCCAGAAGATACAAAGTGAAAAAAAAATGACAAGAGCAATAGGTAAGTTGGTAATGCCCTGGAAAGCCATTACCAAAAGAATACTATGATTGTAAGAACAAAGCAGGGCGACAGAATTCATTGGCTGCACATCCAGGAGAGGAGGGTAACATGCATTTTAAAAATAGCTTATCCTCTTGGGATGTTACAGGTAAGGTGTTTCTCATACTCATATAAACAGCATTACTGTCCATTACTAATATATGAATCTTTTTTTACTGGAACTTACCTCACCAGATGTTTCATCTACTAAAGAAATCTGAGTTGGAGTTTCAACTTCCAGTGCAACCTGTAACAAAATGATTAATTGCATTATAGGATTTACTGGACATTGTGTTTGATGTTTATGGCTGGTATTCATTATCTAGATGTCTCTAGCACTCACTGTGGTTATTGCTAAGCCTGTAAAATCAAAGTCATTTCCCATAGTCATGAATTTCCATTTCCAGTGGGAAAAAAAGTTTCCTAAAAGTTGTCTAAAAATGAAATGGAGATACCTCAACCAAGATGTACATACCTAAAAAAGTTAGAGCATGTGGGACTTATTACAGCAACAGCTCTTCTTTCTGGATCATATGCCTTATATGTGGCTGGATCATATGCCTTATTTTGGATGATTGCAAGACCCAAGACATCCCAGTCTTAGAGCATGGCAGTGGATCTTTCTAAGACAGATCTGTGCTACAGCACTTCCCACTGCCCCCTGTTACCAGGAGAGCCCACAGACCACAGGGAGCACGGATTCCTGTGTTTGTGCAGAAGTGATTATTTTTATTTCTGTAAAAAAACCCACGTTCAATTTCATGTTGCCTGTGTCTGCAAAGGGAAGGAAATAACTACAAGTCACACCTGTACATGACACTGATCCCTTGAAGTTTGGCTCCAAACAGTGGAAATCATGTAAACTGATTTAGTTCTTCAGTGACTTCACATCATTAAAACGTTTTCATGTTAGAGATAGTCCATTTTCCAAAGAGCAAAAGGAAAATAATATAACTACAGGTTATATATTCTCCAAGCAGTAAGAGATTTTAAATTAAGCAAAAGAGAAATTAATTAAGGACAGGAGCAAAAACACATGAGCAGGGTAAGGAAATGAATACAGAGATACAAATGATCAATGTAAAGTTGATGGCCATGTAAAGCTGAGGGTGAGAGGAAAGGAAAAACTCATGTGAAGGGAATAGTAATCAAACATCAATAAACCAATCCCATACAGCAAGCAGCAGAAAAGACACATTGTTGGAAATACTTAAGACCTGAAACATTGTATCGACACCAACATTTAGGCATTTCTGAGGAGCAGAAGCTTCTTCTTTCCCAGAATCACTGCTTGGAAAACGTTAATTTAAAAATAAACACAAACTCACAATATGATTCTCCCAAAACTTGTATTTCCAGTTAGACAACAGCAATTCCTTAGTTACTGGTGAGCAGTATAGTTTAACTTTCAAGCTGTGAGGAGACAAAAAGCAGAGAGAAGTGTGCTTTAAAGTAGAGGCAAGGAACAATCTAACGACACATCAGCACCTGGCACCCAGCACATCAAAACCTGTGCTCAGAACACTCTCTCATGTGAAGAGACCTGCAGAGCAGGAAGCCTGCAGGCTTTTCTTCAGCACAGCAAACCCAAACTTACCTCTGTGTGCCCATGCCTGCATGGATTTTTGTAGACACAAATGAAGTGGTCACATGTACAGGTGTACATGTTTCTGTTTCAATACCCACACCCCTGGAACAGGTGTTTGGGGCAGTCAGCATTCAGCAGAACACAGAATACTCCCTATTAATCTTGTGCACAGTGCAGAGACCTGACGAGCAAAAAGAGATTCTCTGCTTGCATCTGAGGAGAGGCAACATCTACTCTAATAAATGAAAAGTGCCAGGGAGCTATCCCACAACCTCCCTGGGCCCATTCCCATGTTTGACCACCCTCATGGGGAAAAATGTGTCCCTTGCCCTTTTGTTATGCACCTCCAAGAAGAGTCTGGCTCCATCTTCCCTATCCCTACCTGCAAACAGTGACACACAGCTGACTCCTACTCCCACAGCTGCAGACATCCAGCACTCAGGCTCTCCTCACACATCACACACTCCTGCCCCAGAACAGCGTGGTGATCCTGCTCCAAACACCTGTCGGGGTGTTTTTTTTTGTCCAGGGGAGCCTAGGACTGGACTAAATACTCCAAAAAGAAGTCTCACAAGTACTGGCCAGAGCAGAATAACTGTCTCCCTCAACTTGCTGGCCTTCTTCACAGCACAGGCACAGACAGCACTGTCAGTGTGCACTTCCAGGGAGTAACAGCAGAGATCCTTATGAAGTTCCACAAGGCCAAGTGCACCGAGTTTGGGTAATCCCAGCATTAATACAGACTGTGGTATGAATGGATCAAGAGCAGCCCTGTGGAGGTCTTGGGGGTCCTACTGGATGAAAAAATGAACATGAGCCTGCAATGCGCACTCACAGCCCAGAAAGTCAAGTGCATCCTGGGTGGCATCACCAGCAGGCCGAAGGAGATGATTCTCCCCCTCTGCTCTGCCCTTGTGAGACCCCACCTGGAGTGCTGCATCCAGCTCTGGGGTCCTCAGCACAGGAAGGACAGGGACCTGTTGGAGTAGGTCCAGAGGAGGCCACAAAAATGATCCAAGGGCTGGATCACTTCTCCTATGGAGACAGGCTGAGAGAGTTGGTGTTGTTCAGTATAGAGAGGAGAAGGCTCTGGGGAGCCTTCAATATTGCCACCATTCAATACTTAAAGGGGGCTTATAAGAATGATGGAGAAGGACATCTTACAAGGACAGAGGAGAATCACTTTAAATTGAAAGCTTAGGTAGATAAAAGGGAAAAACTTCATATAGTGAGGTGGATTATACACTGGCACAGCTCGCCCAGAGAAGCTGTGGCTGCCCCATCCCTGGGAGTGTTCAAGGCCAGGCTGAACGGACCTTGGAGCATCCTGGTCTAGAGGAATGTGTCCTTACTGTGACTTATAACCCACGGCAGCTCCCCAAGCTGTTTCGCCCACGCTTTGCCGCGCACCAGCCGCCTCCCCCTCAGCGCTGCCGGTCCCGCCCCCCCTCATCCTCCGCCGTACCTGCTCTCCAGCCTGCTCTTCAGGGCGGGCGCCCGCAGCCCCTTCATGTGATCTGGGGGGAGAGAGAGAGGCACGGCGGTCACTGGGGTGTAGGGGAGGTGTGGCGCACCCGGGGACGCTCCCAGCCCCTCGCGGCCGCTCACCCTTGTGGCAGTGCGACAGGAAGAAGGCGCGGGCGCGCAGGTTGTGGTGATCGAAGCGGTCGATGGACAGGGCCGGGTACTCGCGCATGCGACCCCCGAACCGGCTCATGGCCGCCGCCGGCGCCGCGCGCTTCCGCCTTCACCCCCGGCCCCCAGCCAATCGCGACGCGGCCCCGCCTCCGAATGGCCTATCAGAGGCGGGCACGGCCCTTTTAAAGCGGCCATGGCGGGCGGTTGCCTGGCGACCGTTGGCGTCGTGAGGGGGGACCCGCGTGAGGGGACCCGGGGCGGGGTTGGGGGGAGCTGCCCTGAGAGGCGCCTCTGCCATCGCGCCTCGGCAGCCGCTCCGCCCCGCCTCGCTTGGGAGGAGACCCCCTGGCTTGCGACTCTCGAAGCGAGGTGGGCCCTCTTAAGGGCTGGGTGGGCGGGTGGCTGTGGGAGCAGCGCGGGGTTGCGGTCACAGCGTTGTCACATCGGGACGAGACGTCAGCCTGCGCACCTCGGCGCGTACGGGCAGCCGTCTTGTAGATTCTGCCCAGTTCTGGGCCCCTCTGTTCAGGAAGGATATTGAGGTGCTGGACCAGGTCCAGAGAAGAGCAACAAGGCTGGTGAAGGGATTCGAACACAAGTCCTATGAGGAGAGGCTGAGGGAGCTGAGGTTGTTCAGCCTGGAGAAGAGGAGGCTCAGGGGAGACCTCATCACTCTCTACAGTTTCCTGAAAGAAGGTTGTAGTCAGGTGGGGGTCAGTTTCTTCTCTCAGGCAGCTATCAGCAAGACAAGAATGCATGGTCTTAAGCTCTACCAGGGGAGGTTTAGGTTAGATATTAGGAAAAAATTCTTTACAGAGAGGGTAATCAGGCATTGGAATGGGCTGCCCAGGGAAGTGATGGATTCTCCATCCCTGGAGGTTTTTAAGATGAGACTGGATGTGGCACGTAGTGCCATGGTCTGGGAACCACGGTGGTGTTGGATCAAGGGTTGGACTTAATGGTCTCTGAGGTCTTTTCCAACCTGGCTGATTCTATGATTCTATAGAAGAGGGGAAGCTTAGGTTAGATATTAGCAAGAAATTTTTTTATGAAGAGGGCGGTGAGATGCTGGAAAAGGCTTCTCAGAGAAGTTGTGGCAGTCTCATCCCTGGAAAGGTTCGAGGCCAGGTTGGACAGGGCTTGGAGCAACCTGGTCCAGTGAGAGGTGTCCCTGCCAATGGCTGGGGGTTTGGAATGAGGTCTTTAGGGTCCCTTCCAACCCAAACCATTCAAGGATTCTGTGAAATCTCTTAGTGACTTTTCTGGGACCCTAAACAGGCCCTGTGTTTGCTGACTTGTGGTAAGTGATGTAGGAAACACAGCCATCTCCTCCTGCTGCTCTGGTCCAGAGCCTCTCCTGCATGGGAAGGTGAAGCTCCTGCCTGGGTTGAGGATGCTGCAGGGCCCCCTGTCCTGGACCCAAGGTGCCCCTACCCTTCAGCTTAAAATTTGCTGATAAACATGGGTGTGTGCCCTAGGATTACCAGAGCTGGTGAAGATACAGGCGACGCTTCTCCCCACTATCCAGCACCAGGAACACAAGCTGTGACCCACAGCCCTGCTTCATATGCCGACATGGAGCCCCTCACTCACAACAGCAGCTGATTTTTCAGACACATCCTGTTCCTGCTCCAGTGGCTGGAAGTTAAAGCCCCCCACCTGAGCCAGCAGCTGACATCCTAGGCCAGAGGTGCCCTTGCCCCAATCTGACTCCAGGAGCTGGCACCAGTGTTCACTCACACACAGGTCTCACCAGCAGCTGGCACTTTGTCCTTCATCACACACATATATGGGATACAAAGTGAGATTATGCACAGAGATGCTTAAGATTTAAGAAGATACAATAGGGTAGGACAATCTGTGCTGATCAGGCATGGGGCTCAGCCAGGCACGCATTCCTCACAGGTCTGTACAGCTCCATGGATTCCCACACCTCTCCAAGTCTGGGTCCCCCTGGCTCACAGTCCTATCAGTGCAAAGTCCAGGCTGCTCTTCTTGGTGCCTGTAGTTTCTTGATAGCCCATCCATCGGTGCGAGTGGTCAGGTTTGTTTCTTGTCGTGGTCTTTCTTTTTTTGTCAGGTCCTTATCTCTTTACATTTTGTTTCTGTTTTCCCCCCTTTTCCCTAATTTCCCAATTGACAAGGGGCTCTGATCAGAGAACCTTACTAGAATAAACATTCTCGCACTCCTCTCCTGCCCCATCAATTGATGTGACTGACCAGGTTTGGTTCTCATCACCACATCCCTCATTTACTACTCAGGTCTGAGTCCCCATATGTTCTTGTTTTATGGCTTCCTCCCTTTCCTGTAATCCCTTACTGCACTTAAAATGGCCCTTGAGCAGATGCCCTTAAGGAGCAGACACTCTCCTCCCTCAAACCCTTGTGTAGCTGTTAAGGAAACCACTATATGCCAGCCCAGGCTAGTCAGGATTCCACAGTAATTGTGTTATGATTAAATTAGTAAATGTGTTCCTAAAGCTAAAACAGAGATATATGAAATTTCACTATTTATCCTAAATGAAGAGTAAGCAAACATTGTCATCTTTTAATAAAGTCCACTTCACTGTTCGACAATTCTTTTTAAATGAAAACTACTGGTATTAGGCTGAATATTTTCTTACCACTCTCTTGAATTCTTTCATTTGCCTTTATCTGTCTGTTGTCTTTTGTCTCATCCCTGAATTCCTGGCTGGAGTACAGCTGTCTCCTGCTCTGGTGCAATGAAAACAGCTCTGTGCATGGAACTTGGACACACTAAAATAGACAAAGAGTACAAATTTTTAAATAGCAGCCCAATATCAGGATGGTGCTTTTGTTATTTGAAGTCACCAAGCTGGAACTTTCAATATATGACCTTTATATCTGTTTTTTGAGCAGGAAAGCCTGTGGAAAGGCACCCTGAATTAATGGTGACTCAGGAAGCAGCAGACCTATCTGGATGTCTTGAAGAAGCACATTCATTAGGTGAATCCAGCATATCCTCTCAAGAAGTACATAACAGTAGTAACATGTAAGTTATCACGACACCCTTAAATTCATCACAGTTTGTAATTTATTAAGATCTAATGTTATTGCTAATCATACTGACTGTCTAAGGTCAATACTGACTGACAACAGTTCTCATCAAACACTGATGAGCATATGCACGGCTTAAAAAAAATTCTGTGATGGCTACAAAAGAGCCCTTTGCAGCACAGGAGAAAAAAAATTATGTTGAGATGGATATCTCAAGACTACCCTAAAGATTTAGAATAAGGATATGTGCTTATCCTGTTAATTTGTATGTGACACCTCATAACTGGGTGGGAAAACTACATTTTGATTTCAGTAAATGGTTGCTTTCAATTGCAAAATGATGCAGAGCCTGGTAAAAGAATGCTTGGAGTGCTGAACTGCAAGAAATAGTTTACTGTTGCCAGAAAAGAGCCCTTGTGCATATTTTTATTGATCTTTATTGAAGTGTATTCTCTAAGAGATGAAAGGCCCTTTCTTTGTTTGCTGATGACTGTCATACAGTCAGATGACAGAGATGCAGAATTCTGCTAGTTTCATACTGTGGTAACAACAATTCTTCATGTAATTTCCCTGAAGATTTGTATGCTGTGTTGCGAGGTTTTTTTCTAATTTCTGCATTTCTAACAGACCAGTGCCATTTGTGCATTTGATAAGATTTCAGCATTCAACTTCTCAAGCTCTCAGTTGAAATAGGAACTGGCTAAGTAAGGAAATTTTACTCAGTGCACAGGGTTTGGAGGCAGCATACTACTCACAAGGAGGGAGGCTGTGTTCTCCCTCTCAGAATCTGTCTCTCATTCCTTGAAGATGCCTTCCTAATTATCTAACTGAAGCTTGAGTCCTTTCCTAGTTTTGTAATGTCACCATCTCTGATCATACCTGCTAGCCATGACAGTGCTGTGTGTATTTTGCTTGCAGATGCAACAGAAGTTCTGTTTTAGTAGCAGAATAAGATACATTCAAGCAAATGCAGTAAAATTTAGATATAAGGTGGAAGTCAAATGATTCTTATTTTTACATAAAGTTGAGATGTTTCCCTAGTGAGTTTACCTTTTTTGTTGTGATAGTTTTTGGTTTGTTTGGGTTTTTTGGGGGAGGTTGTTTGGGTTTTGGTTTTGGTTTTTGTTTTTTTTACAGTTTAAGTTTCATCTTGTCCCAGTTCTGCTCTGTTCAGGTTTAGCAGCTGATTAATCTATTTACTATTTCTTAGCAAACTGAACAAATGCGTTTCGTGTGAGGAGGAAGTCAGTGGCAGTCAATGCAGGTTTTGATTGGGCAAGGGTAGAAGAGGGTGAATTTTAGTTGGTTGTGTGCTTTGTCTCTACCTGGTTTCTCTCTCAAGACCTCTTGTCTCTCATCTGTACCGTGGCCATGTGACTGGCCATGCATTTCTCCTTTCTCTTCCTCTCCCATCCTGAGTGTTTGCTGTTCTTCAGGAACAGCCCAGATCTTCATTCTGTGTCTCTCAGTTTGGTGTCGCTACAGGAGGAAGAAAGAAAAAAACAGAAAAACTCTCTGTCCCAAAAGGACAGCAACTGCAAAGATGTGAAATTTGAAAATCGCTATTTTTTTTAATGCATCAATATGCACAATTAAATTTTAGTAGATTAAGTCAGGGTGTATATTGAGGTATAGGTAAGTTGGGTTTGAGATCAAATAGTGTATTTAATTTGATTCCAACTGCTTATCACTTTTTTTTTTTTAACTCAGTCTTTGAGGTCTGTAATTCCCTTATTTTAAAATTTTGTTTTACCCATTTCTGTATATCCCCATCAAAATCACCTACTTCTATCTTCTCTATTTAATTTTTAAAAATCTAATTTCAGGAAGAAGTCTGAAGTTCCTGGAGTCGTGGCTAAAGCTGACATCAAACCAAAATCTATGCATCGTGCCAAAACATGGTCAGATGATGTAGAGAACTTATACAGATTCCAGCAAGCTGGATACAGAGATGAAGTGGAATATAAACAAGTAAAACAAGTTGATGTGGTAAGATTTAGGACTTTGCTAGGGTTACTACTTTAAACTTCTGTCCCATGTTAAATGCTTAAATAAAAATGGAGGTGCTGCTTATTTCCTTTCATTTAGGC